CGCCGGCTGCTGGAGCTGAGACGTCGGCGGCGGAGGCGGCTCGAGCGCCTTCTCGGACCAGCGACTCGGTGGCGCTGCAGGTGAGCGCGGCTTCGGGGAGGCCTGCTCTTGGGCCCCAGAGACCCCCGGGACCCCGGTCCCCCAGCAGCAACTGGCCACCTCAAGGCTCCCGATACCCTCCTGGCCTCCGACCCCTCAGGATACTCCCTTCAGGACCCCTGACGTCCGAGACCGACCCCCCGGGCCGCTTCTGGGCCGAGCTGTCCGCAGGAGCCACGTACAGCCGCCCCAATCCTTCAACATTTCCCTAGGACTCGAGACCCCCGAGGACTCGGCCACCTTAGGTCCCCAGTATTCTCAAGATTCCCTTAGGACCCCAGGCCCCTGAGGCCCTCCAGCCTTCCTCCCCATCCCCTGGCGCCCTCCAAACCCCCGAGGACCACCTCCGCAGCCCGGGGCCCTGGCGCTCTAGACTCTCCCACCCTCCCAAGCGGAGGGTCTTGGGCCTCCATGCCCACCCGAGGGCAGCGCCCCTCCAGCTTGAGGTCCAGAGACCCACAGAAGCCCACCGCCCTCCCCCCAGCTGGTCCTCCGTCAAGCCCCACAATGGGCTGCGAGCTGCCAGCGAGGTGGCCCCCAACTCCTGGCGGCCTCCACGCCCCATGGAGCCGGCCCAGTGAGGTCCCTGGGGTGGCCGCTCGACTTCTGGTGGTTTGTGAATTCTCAGTGGGAGCACAAAAGAGGGTGAGCCACCTGAGTGGGGTGTCTCGCGGGCCAGGGGACACTTTTTAGCCAGACGAAGGGCTTGCTCTTGTGGACCCTGTTTTGACTGCCGACTGTTGCACACAGAGGCCAAAGGAGGGCCAGTGTTGAACTTTTGGGGCTCCCACGTGGTCCAGGGATAAGGCTGCGGTGGGGGTCGGGTGATGCAGGCAGGGGGGCCGAAGCCAGCAGCTGGGAGCTGGAGGGCAAATCCGGGTCATCATGTCTTTGTTCCTGGAACTATTTGAATGCCTGATAGCAAACCCGTTGCCTTCGCATTGATTCCGACTCCTGCTGCCGACCCGACAGGACAGGGTAGAAATAGCCCGGTGGCTTTTAGAGGGTTTAAATCTTTAAGGGAGCTGACAACCTCATCATCTTCCTGAGGAGTGTCTGGTGGGTTGGCACCAGAGATTTTGTGGTCCACAGCCCAGTGCTTCAGCCATGGTCCCCCAGGGCTCACTGGCACTGGCGGGGAAGATGGCACTGCCCCCTGCTTGCAGGGCCTCCTTGGAGGCATGGTTAGACATGGAGGGTGGTTTCTGTGTGGCGATGGTTGTAGTGGCAGGGGACCCACCTGGGTGGACCGTCAGATTCCTGGGCAAGGTGGGGCCTGGGAAGGGCGCCTGTAACAGGTAACAGGTGGGTGGATTTTCATGGGCTGAGGTTGAGATGTTTGCAGTGAGGCATCTAGGCTCACCAGATGCAAATGGGCTGGAGCTGCATGCCCTCCCAGGGTTGGTAAGGCTCTCAATGAAGGTCAAGGGCCACCTTCTCAGGTTGGTCTTGGAGGTCACCTTCTGTGGGGAGAACTGCAGGCAGCCTTCCACAGAGGAGAGGGGAAGGACGCTCTACAGAGCACAGGGTGTGAAGGTGGGAGAAGGTGAAGAAGGGTGGGGAGTGGGTGGGGTGGGAGTGACTGTGTGGTCTTACTTGTGGCATAATTGTTTAGAGGCAGCAAGACCTCGTCAGTGGTGGAGGTGACCCGTCTGGATGGAAGTATTGGTGGCAGTGGGGATCGTGGCTTCCTCAAGCATCTAGACTCCAAAGACTGACCTAGCGCTGCCTCATCTAGGCCTGTAGTTTTTAGCCTGGGATTCACTTAGGCAAGTTCTTGCTCGTCTTGGGCAAGGTCAAGTCATGCCCCTCACCCCATAGGATGCAGGGGCTTTGCTGGGGACAGGCCACTATCACCACACAGGGCAGGAGGGAACAGGCCACTGCTCAAGAGCTGGACCAAGAGTAGGGGTGGTTGGGGTTTGAAGGAGGCAAGCTCAGGTACAGGGTATCTGAAAGACCCCACTTGGTGAGCGGGATTAGAGAAGCTGGTGCAGGAGCAGTCGGTGAGAGGCGGATGGGGAAGACAAGGCGATCGGACTTTTGTTTGTTGACGTCTAGACCGGTGAGGGAGAGGAAGATGAGGCTGGCTGTCCAGGTGCCTTCTGGGAGGGAGCTGTTGTGGGTGTCCGAGCTACCCAGCATGCCAACGAGCTCAGTCCCTGAGCAACTGAGGTTTCCTTGGGCCCCCTGTGGGTTCGGTCACTCCAACACAGGTGTGGGTGGGAAGCACTCCTTGTCAAGGTACCAGCAGCCCTGTGAGGGGTCGGCAGTGCTTAGTCCTGTTTTATAGATGAGGACTAGTGACGCCCGCCCAGTAAGTCACCTGGGTTTGTATTTGGTGCTTCAGTTTCCTTAGAGGTTGACTTGTGTCCCTGCTGCTCTCAGCCTTCCCCCTAGGCCTCTCCGCTGTCCGCAGCCGTACTAAGCGTGAGTTTGGAGCTGGCTGTCTTGTGTGAGGCTTCTTGCTTCTGGCGTCTTCCTAGTGAGTTTGGCTCTGCTGCTATAGCCTGGGGGTGGGGCTGGGGTATGACAGGAAGCAGGGACCTGTCAGACCGGGTGGGGTTTTGTGAGGTGCTGGCAGGGGGAAGAGCTTCATGAGGGGCTTCAAAAGTTAATGGAAATTTTCCATTTTCTTGCACTTTCATTTTTCCACCAACTTTTTGAAGCCCCGTGGTATACGAGAGTCTGAGATGGCACCCAGCAGTGCCCGTGATGTCAGCGTGGCTGCCTCTGACGCAGCAGGAACTTTGTCCAAGGCCCCTTGCCTGCCAGGATCTCAGTTTTCACAGCTAAAATATTGGGGGTGCTTGGTGCTGCGTGGTCGTTATGACCCCCTCCTGAGGACTGAGGACAGGGTGGGCAAACACTGGTGGGGCCAGCAGGCCTTGGGTCTCCATTTTGATGTCTCTTACCATTATTGGCTCATCACTGAGTAGCATGACCCTTTGAGGGATGTGACATAGCACAGCTGATGGACAAACTTTCAGTGGCATCAGCCTTACCTGGGGGCAGAGTTCCCGGGAAATACCAGGTGTGTCTGCCCCTCTGAAATGAATCGCCAGGTGGGAAAGAAGGAACAGATGGGCAGACTGCTTATCCCGGGGCTGCACCGGTGAAAGAGTTCAGCGTCAGGTCTTGGCCAGGCACCTACCCCAGGGAAGATGAGAGGGGAAGTCAGATACTACATCTCCCAGCTCCACTTGTGCGTGCGTGCGTGCGCTCCAGGATTAAAATAAAACAACACCGCTCTGTCATTGAGTCGATTCCAGCTCACAGGGACTGTGGGACAGTGTAGAACTGTCCCTGTGGGTTTCCGAGATAGAAAACCCGATCTTTCTCCCTCAGCGCCTGGAGCTTCCAAACTGCCAACCTTGCAGTTAGCAGCTCAATATATGTAACCAGGACACCACAAGGGTCCCTTTCTGCCAGGATTGTCAGGACTCCAACAGTGGTGGGAGTTATTCTTGCTTTTTGAATTAAATGTTCCTTTGACGTTTATTAGTGGTGAGTTTTGCCCTGTTTCTGGTTTGGGTGATTGTTAGCACTGGTCATTTTGAGTTTGGTTGTTTTTTTAATTATTATTCTTAATTTATCTGAACTTATTGGTTCAATAGCTCGTGTTTAACTTAAGGTTTGACTTTTTCTGTAATTTGAAGCAAACAATTCACCTGGAAGTTCCCGTACTTTTAATGGCTAATTACGCCTTACCAGAGCTTTGGTTAGACTGATGTGGGTCAGCAGAGACTGGCTGGGAAAAGTAGGGCGGAATTGAAAGCCCACTGGTGCTGAGGAAGTAGCCCTGGTGATGCAGTGGGTTCGGTCAGCACTGGGCGGCTAACCAGAAGGGCAGTGCATCAAACCCCCAGCCACTCTGGGAGACAGCTATCTCAGCCTGCTTCTGTAGCGCTCCACAACCTTGGAAACCCTGTGGAGCAGTTTCTTTCTGTGCGACAGGTTCGCTATGACTCTGTGTTAGTCTGGGTACTTTGGAGAAACCAATCCATAGAAACTCATGTATAAGAGAGAGTTTTATATAAAGGTTAAGTGAGCATCAAGAAAACATCTCAACCCAGTGCTGCTCAAGCCCACAAGTCCAACATTAACCTGTATGTCCGACACCAGTCCACAAAAGTTTTCCGCCATCTCACACAACACACACTATGACGCCGACTGCAGGAGGATAGCCGATCAGTGAATGTGTAAGCCTCTCAGTGCTGGCAGGGGTCTCCACACGGCTGCTCCAGCACCCAGGGCTGCATTGGGGTAGGTCCATGTGGCTTCTCCTTGGGGATGTCTTGCAGGAACTGAGCCTTTCCAGCTGAAGCAGGGAACTGGCTAAGGCAGCTGCACCCTGGTCCGGTCATCACAAAGCAAGAGACCTGAGAACTAGAAAGGCGAGGCTCACCAAGCCATTCATCTCTCTGCCCTTCAATTAACCCCACATGTGTTTATCGGCCAGGTTGGCACAATAAACTAACTACCTCAGACTCCAAATGGATGCGATGGCAGTGGGTTTGATGTTGGGTGTAGACATAGTTAATTGTAATAGACTAACAGCTTACAACCGGGAAAATTCAGGGGAAAATTCAAGCCTCGAGTTGCAATCTTGAAAGAGTCTATGGGTAAAATATAGAATGATGCAGGAAGCACCAAGAGAAGATGGAACGACTTCACTGCATCAGAAAGGAACTGTCGACATCCTGCCATTTCAGGAGGTTGCATATGAGCAAGAACCAATGGTGCTGAAGGAAGACATTCAAGCTGCACTGTAAGCATTCACCAAAAACAAGACTCCAGGAATTGATGGAATACTACCCAAATGTTTCAACAGACTGGTGAAGCACTGGAGCACTTACTTGTCTATGGATTTGGAAGATGGCTGCTTGGCTGACTAGAAGAGGTCCATATTTGTACCCTTTCCAGAGAAAGTCGACCCAGCAGACTGCTCATGTTATAGAGCAATATCATTGATGTTATA